TGACACAGCAAGTTAGGGGTTACCACTGTATGTGATATTTTGACTCCTTTCTGGTCTATTTTTCACCCACCAAAGGCGTATCTGGTTGGACTGGCTGACGATTCGTTCCTGCTCCAAATGTTGCCCTCAGGTGGCCCACAAAATGAGGTTGGGGCAGCTCTGTCCTGCTCTAATTTTATCTTCGGGTAGCTCCTTCCTGCTCCGATTTGTTTCCCAACAAAGGGTGACAAGAGGCGTGGAACCCCACAACAGGTGTGCAAGGTTATAATGGCTCTTTTGTGCCCTAAATTCCACCATCCGAGGGCCACAAGCAGTGCTGAAACTGCTTGGCGGGCCCTAATGACCGGACCTAATGTAGTCAACCATGTAAGCATCGCGCACTTGTCACACGGCCATTGCTATGCAGTGTTGAAGCCACTTTTCCGATCCCCCATGTAACTGCGCGGCTTCGATGAAACCTACCTAGCCAAAAGGCTTACAACACGACGAGGACAATCGAGCTGTTGGCCGCGTGCACAAGCAAGTCAAGCGCGTGCTATAACCCTACAATCAGTTTCTGAATTCGGTAGGAAGACATAAGATACAATGTGTGAATACATTTTATAGCTGATAGCTTTTCTGCAATGTGTGTTCGAGTACCTCCGTTACCTCAAGAAACGCCCTCTTGCTGCAAAGCAACGATGGCCGGACTGCCACACAGTTAAGTGGCCGATCACAAGTGAAGTTTCTCATGAGCTCTGGCGTAGGTTTGTCCCCTGTGCCAAAACTACACAGAAGAGAAACGCATGAAAAAAATGTCAAAGTTTGCGTCCCCTGAGGCCTGGCCTCCCATATCATCGAAGTCGCTGCCTTCATCATCACTCTGCGGTCGAGCAAGGCACCAAAGTCGGACCTGGCAAGCACATCCCCACGGGTCTTCCTGCGTTTGATCACCCCACAGCAACTGCAACACAGCAATCTTCCACTCCTCCTCAGTCCTCAGCGACAAAAAATGCTCAAGCCTCCATATCTTGTCTTCCGCATGATGCCAAAAGCCGCCCATCAGCATGTGGGATTGCAATCTTCGACACAGCATCCTATGAATTGGCTCAAGGTCAGGAGGTGCGCATATGAGTGTGCTAAGCAAAACAGCAGCTAGAAGAAGAAAGGCTGAGTTGCTGAATTCGTCTTTCCACGGGCATCTTTTCAAGGGTCTATCTTTCGGAATTTCTGGCCGTCTTCTCTTCAGGCTGATATTATCCACTATGAGTACTGCGAAGACAGAACCGTAGTCGTCTTGTCTCTGACTTCCTCTTACCACGAAGCTCGCTAAGGGAATGGATGTCACTAGGAGCACGCTTTCACTTGCGTCCTCATGGGCTGGAAGCCGAGCCAACTCGGACCCGGTGAGGGAGTTCCAAAAAATCACCAGGCCCGCTTCCTTGAAGATTCGTCAGCGTGGTTCATTCGTCAGCGATCAGAAACACACTTTGATATCAGCCATACAGTGTCTTGCGGCCTTGCGGTGTTGCAATCCGGCCAAGCAACGTGCAAGGAGCAAAGCCATTCTCGGTACGGGCCAGCCCAAGCGACTTGTGTCGCTGCAGACGGTAGCCTAAGCATTTTCAGAAGGCACCAAAAGGGCTGAGCACTTTGGAGCCTTGCTGAGGGCAATGCTTTGGAACCTCGATGGAAACGTGGCACTTTGCAGTAGTGGCCTGCACTGCAGCTCTACGGCAATCAAGAGTTAGATGATCACACGACATCCTGAATGAAATCAGAGAAAGTCAAGCAGCAAGCTGTGCATTGTCCGAGCTTCTGACGCCATTGAGCGATGAGAATTCAAAGACCCCCACAGCAGCAGGCTTGGCCTGACACAGCAAAGCAACTCTGAGCAAGGGCCTCCAGAGCAAAACCAGTGGCATTCTCTGCATTGTGATGTGCAAAGCTTGGACACCTAAATGAAAGATAAATCCCAAACCCTGAACACCACATTGGCATGTTGTGCATACAGCACATCGATGGAATGCGGATTGTAAGTCAAATCGTCCTTATGATGTTGTATTATCCTGCAACCATGCTCCACCCCACAGGGCTCCATGGGTTCCAAAGGGTTCCAGGGGTTGAGGGCAGTATATGAGGTGGCGTGGCTAGTGACTTGAGTTTCCAACTCAATGATGCCGTCTTAAAAGCGAAGTAAGTCATGACAAAGGGAACGGCAGCTCCACGTGCAAGAGTAGCAAGTTCACGCAAGTTCCCGTTTCTTGTGCTTCAATTTCAGGCCTTGAAGCCATTGCAGCAGCATGCGAAGCGGTAGGAGAGCCCGTGCGACCATTCAACACAACGGACAACACCAGGGAGCTCCACCTACAAATGTCACTGGTATCAAATGATCATTCCAATCTTAGTTCCAATGCGTTCCTACCTTCAAATGTTTTCTGGTGGCCAATTCTTAAAAAGCTAAAACCGAAGGATTTGAGACGTCTTGCATGCATTAGTACGACAATAAAAATATACAGTATATAAATTGGACATATTTACAGTTCTGCCAGACGAACATCTAGGCCATTCATTAGCGCTCCTGTCCTCGCAAAGAATCTGAGCGGACTCCGCCTGACGGCATCAACCGCTTGCAAGTTCCAAGGTGCCAACTTGTGAATCCTGACTCTCTGAATGAATGCTCCCCACACATTCCATCAAAGTTCATCTTCCCAAGGCGAACGGCCAAAGTTCATCTTCGGTCAAAGTTCACTTGGCAAACAGGGCATTCCCTGAGGCAAGCCTAACCAGCAAGGGATAAATCATACGCTCGCCTGCCAAAGAAGCACATAGTTGTCCGCGCCGCAGGTCAGCAGTAGGCCCTCATCATTCAAGGAGCATGCCCACACCGCTCCCCTGTCATTCAAGACAGTATAGAGGCAGGTGTTTGTGGGCGAAAAACTGACAAATGATGATCATGTTGCCTGTGCCCTTCGTACTTCCGAAGGCACCTTGCATAAAGGCAAGTCAGAAACAACATCTGATCCTCACAAATCCACCTGCTGTGCTAAGGCTTAAGCTCGCCCTCTGGCACACTCCACGCAATGACCAGCTTGTCCTGCGCAGGTTAAGCTTCAATGCCAAGCTGAACAAAGTAGTTGAGACATGCTGTATGACATGCTGCTGTGTCCTTGCCACAGGTGTACAAGACTTTGCCAGATTCATCAAAAGCAATGTATGTGACTGGCCGGGAATGGCCTCAACACAGCACCCACAACTCAGTCAAATCCCAAGCATCGCCCTATATAGCAGCCTAGAGAACTCGTTCTGTAATCTCCCGAGTGACAGCGACCGGGCCTTGCAACACAACATCATGTTTCTGCTGTGACTTGGCGGCCTCAGTTTCACCAGGTGTGATGAAGTAGTGATGTAGTTTCATCTGCTGCACTGCTTATGCGCTGCTACAAAAAGCACCAAAGATTGAGAACGCGTTTGAAACTTGATGTTTGGTGCAATGTAAAGATGCATGGACCCGGAGAGTCCGTATGTTCAGGGTTCGTTTCACAAGGGGTTTACCACTACTATATAGTCACTAGAGACCTTTGTCTCTGCGAAGTTGCTGAGAGGTTAATCACGAGAACTCACCAACGCAATGACTTTGGCTGGCCCCGGAACCCCCATGAGACTGACGAAGCATCATCCCCAACATAAAACAAGACTTGCCTTCTCCCCACCCCAAAAAATGGTCCGATTGGCTGGGGTCACTAATGACACCCGGTGGCTTGAAATAACCAGGCCTACATACAAAAAATAATCAAATCCGGCACACAGCACACAAAAATCTGACTGTCTTGTATAGAGCTCTTCAGAGCGTTCTGAGCCTGTGGCACTGGTAAGCTGCAAAGGCTTACGTTCGACTTCTGGTGCCGGTGATGGCCCAAGAGATGGTGACACCCGAGCCGGATCACCTACAAGCAATGACCACATGAAAGCCTCATCACCTTTTGAGATAGAAACGGTGAAATATGTTTTCTGGTTCATGGTACTTGCCTATTTCCATATGGATTTCCAGCACAATGGGCTACGGACCACTTCAATCATATCGGTTGCTTCTCGTCACATATTGCACTTGCACCGGTCGGGTTCTCAAAACATATATACAAATTATACAAAAGTTGACCCATTGATTGAAATAGAATCGGTACAAAGGCGATCGGATCAAATGCCTTCAGCAGGTGCTGGAGCTGGGGCTGGCCTGCTGACCTCAGCGTGAGGCTTGAGGAGCAAAGGCCTACCAAGCTTTGAAACCACTGTGGGGCCTGACCTGAACGACTGGCTTCCCATCTGGGCCAAGTTTGGTCATTCGGCCGATGATATCATCGAAGTCTTGATCAGTCAGCTTGCCTGAAATTGTGCCCATGTGTGCCCCCCCAACTATGCTGAAACACAGTAGAACTGGGCAACTTCAAGCACGCCTGCCGCAGCATACCCTTGCGCTTTGTGTCTTCCCGCGCTTTTCTCTTTCTCATCATCTTCTCTTTCTCTTTCTCCCTTTCTGGGCTTTGGATCCTGGGAAATTGGGGCGCTGGGACCTTGCCACCATTCCATTCCCGAACGCGCAGCGAAAGGTTCTCGTTTCACTCTGGGGATTTGGGGGTGGAGTTTTGTTCGCGACTCGTTGTCGTGGCGGCTGCGGCCGTTTGCAACTGTCCGCAACCGTTCGCAGCTGAAGCGCTATGGCGCTGACATTGGGCGAAGCTTTTGGAGAGGGCTTTGGATGGAAGCATGACATGTCAGATTCGTGTGAAATAGCGAGGAAACGTGTGGACACGTAACATGTTGAAGTGTGGCGGATGGTTTCACAGCGCAGGTGCAGCGTTTTGTGAGATCCTCAGTTTTTTTTCCGCAGTCAGATTGGGATGGGCGTTTAGGGTTTTTGGGGTGTTGGATGTAGCTGTGACATTGGGATTTGCCTTTCAGGCTGTTGCTTCGGAGCTGTGCTTTCATGACAAGTTTCAGCTAAAGAACGACTTTGGTGGATGGGAGTGTGCTCAGGACGTGTCAAAATCATTCCAAAAAGTGTGGTGCAAATTTTGCTGAAGACATGAACATGATTGAACATGTGATATCCCCACTTTTCGTAGCCGGCGCAGTACTTTGTGCGTGTTGGAGGCGTCGAAGTTGAATTGTTCAGGGGATCGTGAGGTTGCGATGTTTGGTGGGGGTGGATGTCGCTGTGACATTGGTGTCCGCGGTTGTGGTTTTGACGAGCTGGGATTGCGAAACTGCTTGGCAGGGCTGCGCTCGCTTTGGGGGGCTGGAGGAAGTCTGGTCCGAAGTGCCCGCTTTGCAGACATGACGTGTGACTTTTGGAGGCAACTTTGTCCTGTGTATATAATACAAATGGAGTACGGGAAGCAGCTTCTGGGAGCTGTGGGCACAGAATTGTAACGTGAGTCCGTGCCATTACGGGAAGGAAAACGTGCTGGTGTAACTTTGGCGTGTCGCTGGGGAGCAGGATGATTGGCGGTGTCCACGACGCTTGGCGTTACAGTACATTGTTGTTGTATCTAGTCTGTGGCACACCACAAGAGCGTCGCACGAGAGTGTCCCACAAGACTTTTCCACAAGTGTGAGTGCCCCGGGGTCCCGCAAAAGTCTGCAACAAGAATGTCCTACAAGAATCTCCCTCGGGTCAAAACTGTCCTACAAGAGCGTCCCATAAGACAGAAGAGTAGAGTGTCCCGCAAGACCGTGCCACAAAGGAGTCCCACCACAACCCCATAAGAGTTTTCCACAATAATGTCCCACAAGAGTGCCCCACAAGAGCACCACATACAAAAGTGTCTTACAAGAGTGTTCCACAGGAGTGTCAAACAAAGTTTGACCATTTGTTTTCGAGTGCGTGTTCGTGGGTTCCATCTTGTTTTTTCGCCCGATCGGCCCTCTGCGCTCCTAATACTTAATTAAGTAGATACTACCCACTTAAAGTAACTAAGTAAGGGCAAACTTCTACACTCCTAGCTGCTTGGACGCTACTACATATGGACGCGGGATAGCTGGGGGAGCTTCCTTGAAGAAGCGCTCGCACTAATCACTAATGATTTGGTTTCTAGATTTGTTTGGGAAACTTAAGACCGAAGATGACCGGTCGTCGGTACTCGCACCACCTCAATGGCTGCCAGGAAGGTTGCTTCGGCGTTTCCGCGTCCGGCACCAGCACCTCCGGGAGGTCCTGCATCCAACTGAATTCAAACGGAACACTTTGACAAAACATGAAATCCCAAAGAATCACAAGGAATCCGAAGGGCAAAGAAGCTTGCAAAGCTTGCCACGACGCGCTTCGGATGCGTCCTTCTTCAAGGTCTTCAGCAGACTTCCCCGTTTTCATCTCCTCTGAAGCTAAACTTAGCATAGGAAGGAAGGAAGGAAGGAAGGAAGGAAGGAAGGAAGGAGGGAAGGAAGGAAGGAAGGAAGGAATGAATTTTGAGCCTTGGCACGGCTACTTAATTACTGTCTTTTCTCCAAGCTTGCTTTAAACTCTGTCTCCTGCGATCGGGCTTTCCGAGCTTTCCACAGTTCGCTGCGGGTCGCGTCTGCTGAAGGCTCTTGGGTTTCTGCAGGCGCCTGGCCAGCCACACGACATCATCAATGTGCTTCTGGAAGGGGTCTCCAAAAGTGCACAAGGGCTTTATCTCCAGTTGCAGGCCATCGCTATTAGGTTGGAGGCCATCGCTATTGGGTTCTATCTAGAGTTTCACACTTGGCCCAGCGGCTTTATCAAGTCAAGTGCCTCCATCGCATCCTCAAACTCTGGCTCCTCTGATGGCAACTTCACAGGAAGCTGTTGTTCTTGTAGGTCCTGATGCCGAGCACCCTGCACAGGATACCTCACAACTCTCAGCTTTGGTCCTCCTTCGAGATGCTATCCCAGAACTTTGTCCTGCCACGCTGGTCAAAACTCAACTCCCAAAACCTTCCTCTTAGCCTGAGTATTTACCTCTTTCGCTGGCCTTCCAGCTGCTTTGCCTTTGTCGGCTGCATATAACAGCAGCTTCTGAGCCTGAAGCTCACTGCCCTACAAACTGATCAAGACAGTGCCCCCACGACCCAGCACAGCCTGAGTAGTGACGGCAGCTGCCTGAGTGCCAAAAACATATAACCGCAGCGGCGCGATAGAAGTTTGCAGCTGACCTGCCTGCACCATGAACTTTACTTTCTTCCCTTGGATGCGAATCGAAAAGCTGGTGAATGAAGTTTGAAGGGCTATGACTATCGTGCGAAAGAATTAGTAGCTTGTTCAGTGCGAAGTCACCGCTGCCCGGACTTCCTCCATCTTCTGGTGGTTTTCGCACGATTTGCCTCAGAATCAAGGAGACGTGACCAAACCCTGAAAGCCGCAGGTGCCATATGACCGGCATTGTCAACAGTGTAGCAGCAAACAAAGTTATCCTGTCAACCTTCAGCTTGGGTCTGTCATCTGCTTCTTGCAGCTCATTTGCACATCGTGGAATTCCCCCATCCGAATGGACCCGGATGCTGGCCTGTCCAAAGCTCAGCAACTGACAGAAGGTTTCGTTCAGGCGTGTTGCTACATGGACAACTGAGGGCCAGCTTGATGGTGTAGTCTTTGGGCGCTGTCGTCTTCATCTTGTACGCCACTTGGCCTTCCCACCTCAAGAGGGTGCAACTTGTTTGTCACAACCACTAACCATGTCAGCGATATCTAAGCGATCCAGAAGATCAAGCCCTTCCTTGCCAGGCCACATATTCTGAAGCTTCACCCATGCTGTCAATGAGCCTTTGCGAAGGAAAGCGGCACTTGTCTCCCGCATTCAATACGGACAACAAGTGAGTGGTGCAATGGATTCGTTTCAGCTGCTCACCATCCCGCGCGATGCGAAACTCTATGGCCTGCAAAAAAATCACATCAAGCGCACTCTGTACCAGCACCGGTGGTAAGAACAGTGAACTCAACCACATGGTACCAAATTTGCTCCCTTTTGTTTGACCCCTTATTCTGCACCCTGCATGCCTCTGGCTGTGGCTTTATCACCGTCAGCGGCGCCATGACTGGAAGAGATGGCTCATCTAGAATCTATGTTCAAGCTGTTCAGGTGCCAAGCAAAAGATCTACCAGGGTGTGTTGAAGCCAAAAGTTTTGGTTGAGTTTACTTATCAACTGCTGTTGTACGAAGGCTGGTAAGAAGGGTGGAACATTGATTCCTCCTTTGTCTTCACATCAATTGGGCATCTATTGTGGTACTGGGTCCTATCAACATGCAACACATTCCAATCCCATTGGACCCAAATGTTGCGTTCAGCGAACTCTGGCAAACATTGCAACCAGAACACAGCATGCAAACACTGCAATGTTGGGTGCCTACATGTTCTCATCTTATACGTATATGTATCTGGGTGAATTCCAAAATTTTACGGGTCGTGGCTTATTTTCGCTAAATTGAACATAAAATTGAATGGGGTCGACGGAAGAACGAAATTAAGTGGCGTCGTTTCTACGCGAGCTTATCGCTCCATTTTCTCGCTGAAAAAGGGCTCCAGTGTGTTCTGTGCACTTGATCATAGCCAAAAGGTCTTGACCAGGCTAAAAGAACTTGGTACACTTCTCTATTTGTGCGGGCATCCACACTCCCCCTAGGTGCTTGCACCTATTCGGTGCCGCACTTCCTTCAAAAACTGGCCTCCTCTTCAGGCCTCAGCTCAAGCCCCTTTCTCTCATGCCGTCTTGAACAGCGTGTACCCCCACCGCGTGAACGGCAGGTAGGTACTTCTCTTCCCCTGGCGTTGATCCACCACGATCATCTTCTCGCCGCCGATGGTGGACCATGCGATCGTCATTCGATAGGGCGACCACTCGCTCTCATCCCAAAGGTGAGGGTTCTCGAAGTCGAACATCTTTTTCCGATCCTGCATGTGCTCCCTCACCGCCACCTTTTTCCCATGCTGATGATCCTCCAGCAGCAGCCAATCATCCTTCGCTGCTGTCCGCTTCGGTGGAATCCCGACCTTCCTTCGCAACTTCTCGGTCAGGAATCCCGGTTGGAAGTTGAGGTCCCGCAAGAAGTCCCACATCTCCTCGTGCTTCAAAGACCACTTCCCCAAAGTGATGCCGAAGCCGACGTGGGTCACAAGCCTGATGGGTCCATCAAATGATGGTGCCACCCCGGGAGTGTCTTCTCGCAGCTCCATCTGTCCACTGGACCTTCCTCTCTGCCTCCCTTCTCCTTCGTGACCTGGATCACCATCAGCTGTTCTCTCATCTCGAATCCCATTCTCAGGAGCCGGTGTTGAAGCCGATGTCCCCGATGTAGCTGCAGTCTCTCTGTATACCACACGGGTTCCCTCCGAGTCCCATAGTATCCATGTGCCACCCAGGTTCCGCCTCGGCCCTCGTCGGTGCATCATCCTGTCCTAGGCTGCAGGCCTCAACCAAGTTCCGCCCTCCGTGCGGTCTCAGCCTCATAGTCGTAGGCGCCACGATGCCATAGGTCTGGATCGGGTACTCGATGGTGTCCAGCTGGTTCAGGTCGGGCAGGATGGAGTTCCGCTTCTCTTGACGGCTCCGCCGCGCTCGATGTCTGCCCAGAGGTCGCCGTCTGAGTCTCGGTCATCTCTGGCCTCATTCTCATAGCCCTCACGGAGATGCGATCCACTGGATTTCTGGCGCCCGCCTCCTGGTGGCGGTAGCTCGGGTCGTCCGGGTCAGCCCAGGGGTATAGTTCATCATGTGCTGAATAGCCGAAACCTCGGGATCCTCTGGCTGTGCTTGAAAGCTCTTCCACACAGTTGACCTCGAGCTCCCAAATCCGCTCAATGACCACCTGGGCAATCCGATCGCCCTTGTAGATCCTCAAGTCCACGTCCGAGTGGTTGCGCAGCAGGACCTTGACCTCCCCCCTGAAGTCTCTGTCGATCACACCCGCTCCAGTTTCAATCCCTCGGATCGTGGGCGATGATCGTGGGGCAATGCGTCCATAGCTGCCCGGCGGGAGCTCAAGAGCGATCCCAGTCTTCACCAGAACACTGTCTCCAGGCTGCACCATGGTGTACAAGGGACTTCCACCTTGAAATCCCGAGGCACCTTCTCCTTCTCCTTGGTGGAGTCATCGATCTTCTTCTTGAGGTCCGCCAACTCTCGCTTGAGCATCGAATTCTGGTTCATCACTGCCTTCAAAACCTCTCGTAGGTCCACGGCCGCATCTTCTCCTCCTGAAGGTCCTGGGCCCGAAGATGTACCCGTCGATGGTAGTGAAGCCGGCCTCATCGCTCGGAGCATCACCTCATCCTTCAAGGTCTGACTCCAGAAAGGATTGATATCCAGGGCGACATTCCCAGCCGTGGTACCACCCGTCCCCTGGCCCTTGCCATCTCGCCTCCGATCATCACGTCGTTGGGGACCATATGCAGTGGGTGGCCCTCCGCCAGTGCCAAAACCCCTGAATCCCTCACTTCCGGATCCAGCCTCTCATCTTCAAGTGCCAGGATGCCGGTGTCCTCCTTGGCGCTCTCCATGGACGACCCTCCTTCAGGGGACTCCACCCCTCCAGCCGCTGAGCTTCCGCCAGCTGCCCGTCGCGACATGGCGCAACGACCTGGGCCTCCACTCGAGTGCTCCAGGGTGGACTTCCGGGGCTTAGAACGTTGGGCTCATAACCTACGCGAGCTTATCGCTCCATTTTCTCGCTGAAAAAGGGCTCCAGTGTGTTCTGTGCACTTGATCATAGCCAAAAGGTCGTGACCAGGCTAAAAGAACTTGGTACACTTCTCTATTTGTGCGGGCATCCACAGTTTCAATCCCAACACCCCAACCAGCACACGCACTCCGATGTACACATTGTATAAAATACTTGTTTGTTTGCTTGCTTGCTTGATGGCTGGCTTGTTTGTTTGTTTGCTTGTTTGTTTGCTTGCGTGCTTCCTTGCTTGTTTGTTTATGTGCGGGTGCGTGATGACAAGGATTACAAAAGTGTATGCAAATGGAAAGTGCCCGATCTTCAGCGCGAAACCATGCGAAAACACAACAAGATGTCTGGGCTCTGCCGCTGCCTGACACTGAAGGCAACCAGTGAAAGAAAACAACAGCTTGCACACAGGACAATCAAGTATGACCAGAACTTCCAATCATTGCGTGAGTGATTGGAAACATGAAAGGTATCCTGAATCCTGGCCGTGGGATTGCAACACATACAACGACATCAAGCGCCCGCCTTTGCGGGATTTCAGCCTTTTCCACTCAGGCACCAAAGTGTCTTTGCCAGTGTCTGTGCTACCCTTTTTTCGTCCACGACGACACCATCTTGGCTGTGGTTTCTGACCGTTTCGGGGGTGTCTCAGAACGTCCTGAAATGCGAAGCACTGGGAGAAGCAGAAGCTGTGCGAAGGTTGGGCAAAGCCACTTTAATAAACAAACAGATTGCCGTATGTATGGCGTTGGTTTGTTTGTTGGTTGGTTGGTTGGTTTGTTTGTTTTCTGGTGTGCAAATATAAAGATATATAAATATCACATGCACCGTATAATACATACATATATATATATGTATACAGTATAATACATTTATATACAGTATAATGCATATATATATACTGTATATATATATATGTAGCCCAGTCATTGAGCAGGGGCAGTGACATCCATTTCTGCTTTGACGGCGGCTTTTTGCGACAAAACCCGTGTCAGCTTGAGTGGTGCGGCTTCGGAAGGAGGCGAGGAGTGGGGTGGGGGGTCACTAACGTGCAGTTCGACTAATACTCATGACTCATGACTCATAACATATCAATATCATACCTTTCGGTGAGGTCCGTCACTTATGCGCGGTGCGTGGCTGAGAAAGACTGATCCGACTGAGCGCGGCAAACAGACCAGTGGAATTCGTTGTGATCAGCAGTAGCAACGAAACTGGCAACCTAGAAGTCCAAGAGGGCAGAACCCTCGTCCTGAGATGTCCTGAGCAAACTACCTCGCCAATTGAAGGAGCAAGAGCTGCACAGAAGCAGACCGAAGGCAAAACAGCAGGGCCAGGAAGAACCACTGAAGAGACAGCAGGCCAGACTGCCAAACAGCCCTGTCAGCCATGGGTGATGACTGTGCGAACAGCTTTAGCTGATCCTCAGTACGCACAGGCCGGGAAAGAATGGCAAAGTATGAGAGCCCTCCGCCGACGGACGAAGAGAGCAGGCCCTGGCCTTTGATAGAAGACAAAGTATTGCGTGTGCTTACATTACACGCCAGATTTTAGTGTGTCTGAGGGATCTGTGCGGACGTACATATGCAACGCTCCGAATCGTTAAACCTCATATGCCGGAGAGCCAACCAAGACCGCAAGGGCTTCGACGCAGGACCGAGAGGAATGGAGTCTCCAAAGTCGACCCACAGAGCTTTGGAAGGTTGTGAAACTCAGAAGGGAAATGGCCCATCAACAGCAACAGCCCGAACACGCACAGGGCACTGACGCTTCTTGTGCTTTTCTCCTCTTTTGTCTCTGCAAGCTCTGTGCTACCAAACATGCAGTTAATTGTATCAAACACTTCACCAGCAAGGGAGCAATCGAAGCAAAAACCTACGGCCGAGCTCTCACCATCGAAATATCTCCCTGCAGTGGTTGGACTGCTCCATCCCTTCGAGATAAGCAGAAAAATATTCATTGAACGAGATGAGATCGCTGGTTCGCATGCACTTATCCAAGTTCAATTTTATGACCGCCTCAGATGAGCAATGCCATAAAGAACTGATTGGGTGTGCCTTCCTGACCTGGTGATCAAGTAACATCAAAAGTGTTCGCTTGTGCTCAGTTCTCGCTTCAGAGGAGAAACATCAAAGCATCCCAGACGTTGACCATAGCGCACAAGGGCTCACCACTTTTCAAGTGTGAAGCTGTGCTGGTTGGCAAGGCCAGTCTGCAACTTGTTATTCAAGACGCCTCCTCACAGTTTAACATAGATCCATGTATCTTCAAAAGCTCACAAATACGATCAGTCCAAAAAAACTGCTGCAACTCTGCCCTGCAAATTGCTTTCTGAGGATCCGCAAAAGGCGAACCACCAGACCTTATCAAAGCGAAACAACAATCACAATGGTTGGTGCTGAATCTAGGTCGGTGATAAAAGAGATAGGCGATTAAAAGCAAAAAGAAACGTGATATGAGCATACAGGAGTACATATTGTCCGCTGTATCTGCTGTGAACGACGCATGTCCAGAAAAAGAAGACCAAAACCTGCAAAAACCTGCATAATCTGCAATGTCCCAAAAGTGCAAGAAAATCAAATGCCAACAAGGTGCTTACCAGCATCAATCCCAAAAGTCCAGATCCCAACCAGGTCAGTAGGAGCTCTGGCAGATTCCATGTGTGAAGCTGGTTGTTGAAGGTGACTAAAGATAGCCCCAAATACCAGAACACTGTGAAAGCTGTCACGATGGCCTTAGATGGGAACGTTGAACAAGCTGGATAGGCAAATGTCATAGCAAAGAACCTGGATGCCTTCCGAGATGCAGTAAATGTCTCTTGGGTACTATGGATGAGATGCGCGTCTCGAGGAAAGCTGCGGCGACGGACCAGGAAGAGTTTCCTCAGCCATCAAGCTGCAAAACGAAGGCGTCAAACCTGGTCAAATGTTTTGCGTTGCCCATAAGATCCCATAAGATGCCATATGCAGCCGCAATGCAGTCAGAACACGTTATTTTCAACCGCACCTCCATCACTCTCGCCAAGAGCGTTGGGATTATGGCCCATGGCAGGACTGGCGCAAAAAGGACCACGAACAGAAAGTTCAGCTTCAGGTCCTTCACAACACTGAACTTGGAGTGATGGGGTTCTCTAGTCCAAAAAGACAGATGAGAAAAGGAAGGCAATGGGTTTGTAAAGGCAGTTATAAACCCTTTACCTTCAGTTTTTCATCTAGCTCTCTCTTTCTATCTCTCTCCTTTCAAGTGCCGCTACGAGGACAGGTTGATATATGCATACTTGCATGTCCAGACCATATACGTGTGTATACGGTGGATATATACAGCATACAGTATATATATATATATATATATCAACAAGTCCCCAAGAAGTCCTTAAGTTCATCCAATGCATCAAACTCTCTGAGCACCACTTGCTCAAAAGGCCCATCTATACAACGCTCGCCTCGGCACCCAGGTTCGATGATCTTCTATGGTGAATCAACAGGTGTCTGATCTGGCTGCAAAATGGGCACAGCAATCATTGTCCTCGACATCGGACATGTCCAGCTCAGTTGTGCCAAAGGTTTGACCACGGCATAAATAGCCTGAAGAACTTGGAAGGGGATTGATGGGGGATGCAGCACGGACGGACAGGAGCCAAATCAAATCAAAAAAATAGGAGAAACGAGTATGGCGGGTACTACGAACACAAGGAAGTGAACACAGAAACCAAGCCCGAAACAAGCCAAGTTCAAGTCCAAACTATCCAAACCATCCCATTAAGGCCCTATGATAACCTACGCTTACTGGCACAGCTGTTCTAAAAATCAAGCAACCAATCAACAGCAATGGTCCTTCCCTTGAGACAAGTGCAGGGGCCACGAGTTGAATATACTGCAAGTGAACATGGTAAGCAACGTCTATCGCAAGGACCACCTCTTTATACCGGATTAAGTCTCTCAATTGTATTTTTATATATATGAAAATATAACGTTGAGCCGCCGAGCAAAATTGGCACCCGTATGTGAGCAAAAGAATGCGTTTCTGCCGTCCTTTTGCTCTATTATTCCAGCTGGGGGACGCAAGCCTGTGACCTCGGCATCGAGCACAAAAATCAAACCAAGCCTCAGGTGCGGCACAAAGAGCAGCGATGGTCGGCCTACGTCCCGATCACCGACTAGCTGACATTGCACAAAAACGCCAGAATGATGTAAGTGTAGCCACTTCTCTCCCTAGCACCCATTCTTAGCTCAAGCTCAATCGTGACAATGGTTTTCCGCAGCAGCAGCAGCAAAACCAGGAAAAGCACCGAAAGCAAGCTCCGCAGAGTCCTTGCTTGCTAGCCTGGTCAGTAGCTGTCACTGCAGTTACCAAGTGGACATGAGCATGCAGTAGTGCAAGGATGCAAGTGGGTTACAAAAATTGTCTGCGCGATGAAGCAAACCGTACAAAAAGCGGGCAAATATGATGCCCTTGCAACATTATAATTACGTACATGCATGCATGCATGTCCGCCCGTCCGTCCGTCCATCCATCCGTCTGTCTGTCTGTCTGGCCAGCTGGCTGTCTGCCTGCCTGCCTGCCTGTATGTCTGCCTGCCTGCCTGGATGTCTGTCTGCCTGCCTGTATGTATATATGCATGTATGTCTGCCTGCCTGCCTGGATGTATGTCTGTCTGTTTGTCTGTCGGCCTGCCTGTATGTATGTAGATATGTATGTTTGTATGTGTGTATGTATGCCCTATACATATGAACTTCCCTCCAAAGGCCCAGAAGGTACCTGTGTTCCTTCATATTCAGCCCATCTGGAAAGCCGCTTGGCAATCAAGGGTGCCAACACCGCCGGGATCATGTCCACAAAAGGACCTGAGCCATCGCCTCCCTGGTCCAAGGACCATTCCAACGCAACCAACTAAGGTGCAGACACACAATGAATGGGCCAAAAAGCCACAAGTAGAACAAGTCGCGTCTTTGCTCCTGCGGCTGCAGCCAGTTTCAAGCACTTGGCTGGCGCTCGAAGAGGTACAAATCCACGATAAATGCTTGGCTGCAGCCGAGCTTCGAATCTAAGAAGGTCTTTGGCGCACAATAGAGAACCTCAAGTCGGCGGGCTGCCAAGCTCATGCAATCAAGTGGATTGCCTGCTTGAGGTCACACTGTGGCATTGCCCCCGCACCATCATGCCACCCAGCCACCAGCACAGCAGAATGGATCATCCTCCGAGCAATTCGACATCCAATTGCAAATCCTTGGAAAGGAGCTCAAAGGCCGTCATGCTGAGCTGCTCTCTGCTGTTCCACTGACACCTCTCAGGGAAATCTGCGAACAGCACAATTACTGTATTTTCCTTCGACCAGGTTCTGGTAGTCCACATAGCCAGAGCAAACCTCACGCACGTCGGGCAAAACGTCCTTGCCAGAGTCGGAAGTCCAGCCAGGTAGAAAAACGAATGCTATCCTTGGCTAGCAACACAAGCAACTTCTTGCCCTGAGTTGATTCATGCAACTAATAAGATGTTGCCAAGATGCAAGGAGAAAACACCAACCTGCCCACACAACGCTATATGCAAGATAAGATTGATCTTTCAAACAGTCGCTGTAACAGCCCTCGTCAGGGCATACAATTGTTTGGACACTATTATCATGAACTTGCACGTGCTCATTTGAGCGCATATTCAACTAAGTCTCAAAAGCCACAAAAATAACCCAACCTTGGCCAGCACCTCAATGCCAAGGGAAAGCATGGCTTGCAAGTACTGCCGCTGTCGCATGTACTGGCCGGACGCACGACGGTCACAGCTGCTTTCAACACTTCGCATAGCTCGTCGTAAGGTTTGGTCTCCGTCCACTGCAACATTCAAACATGGAAGGTTTGTACATTGGCTGCCTCACTGACAATGCTGGCCTGCCTTGAAATTCCACAGCTTGGCCAAGTGCAAAGCCAGAACTTTGCAAACTTCCCCCAACCTTCCACGCATTGCTTGACGTGTATAGGAAATGACCATCGGCAAAATTGAAGACGAGTCTCGGCATACCAGAAATCGAAACACAAGTCTCTTGAGACGAGTCTCAACACGACAAAGACCAATGCCAGTCCAATGTCTGCAGATATGTCCGCGAAAAATCCTTTCATTCCATGTACTTGCCTTGGCTTTCATTGTTCTAAGCTATCTAGGTTGTCTCTTTCTGGGCTGCCAAAAGCTGAATGAGGGCAAGGTGCACTGGATTGTTGCAGCCTTGCCGCAGGCAATCGCCCCAGACATAAATCAAATGGGATTTCCTCAGCATAGCATGAGACCCCGACATGAGCACAAGTTATATTCGCGCCCCTCAGTCAGCTAGGTGTGTTCGCAATTGGGTGCCATCGCTGCTGCCAGCATCTTGCCGAGTGTCAAGTTCAAGAAGAAGAACAAAATCAGAACCGCCGCAAGCAAAAAGAGCACCATGGCAGCCTCGAAGGCAAAAATGTCTGCATCCGGCAAGCTACACGAGTCTATTCGGTGTGCTCAGAATTTAGGACACCAATGTGTCAGGTGATGCAGTCGAGGCGCTACGGTCACCAAAAATGCAAATATCGCCCAAACCTCACAAGCAAATCTTGTATAGTGGATGGAACAGCTGGCCCACGCATGGCACAATTACACAAAGCATCTTTGGATGTGTTTTTTCAGGCATTGCCAGCAGCCTTCAACGCAAAAGCAGAAACAAAACAAAGATCTGTTCCATGATCAGGGCTGAAGCATAATTATCAACATCATCAATCTCACGCCAAGTGTACGGTGACTCCACCGTTCCCAGAATTCCACTGTGTCTGATATCTTCATCCAGAGTTTCTGCACTCCAATATATGAGGGGGTTCAAAGGGACTTCAAGGGGTCCAAAGCAGTATGGCTTGTATATGTTTGTGACTTGGCTGGTGGTTTTGAAGCTGTCAAAGCTCCAGTCCCGTAGGTAAAAAACTGACAATGTTGAAATCCACCTGGTGAAACTTTCCTGTTTCAAGCCTGCAGGAATGAAATGTAACATGTTCCAAGGTTCAAGATCTATGGATTGGGAAGTGTAGGAGTTTCAGGCTTAGGCCTTCCAAGGTTCCAGAGCGGGCGCAGGAGTGAGTTTCAAGGCTCTAGTGGCGCCAAGGCTCTTTGGGACGACGACACTCCGAATAATCCGGATTCAGCCGTCGGACTTTGAGCCTTGAGAGAACTTGAGCTTAATCTGCTCACTGGAAACAACAAGTGATGCAATTAGCTTGAATCGGCTTGAAGTGTCGTGCAAGTGTTGTGCCTGACTCTGTCTGTAGTGCACTCCCTGGCTTCACAGGCATATTCATCATAAAACAAAACCAATCTGTTTGCGTTGCAAACTTGGTTTTGCGGACCTGCCGCCCAAAGTGTTGCCAAGCAACTGTTTGGTTTCCCAACCTCGGATAGACTGCGTGACCAATCCTTTTGTTGAACACGTATCTTTGTCCAAGCAACCCAGGAATTTTGCCTTGAGAAGAGCTCGCCTTGGAAGCTCTCTAAAGTCTAGAAGCCAGAACCCATGCGCAGCTGACGCAGCTGATGTTTGACTAAGTCAACTGCGTAGGTAGCTATTTTTCGGACCCTGTTAAACATTGGAAATATCTGGATGATCTTAATGCCTCGCCGAGCAGCTGCAGCTTCTCGGCCGCCTCCCGACGGCGGTTCTGTGGGACCTCCTCAACGCCCTCCATCCTGAAGATACATGGCCATATGGATGAGACGTGCGACATGACAGCATTGAGCCCTTCAGGAGACATGGAAAATCAGGCACCTGAATGAAATCTCAACGCATGCATAGTATCATATTGCCAATCATGTTCAGTGGGCATTGATGGATTTCCTTGCATCACAAGGCCTGGCCCTGGCAGCAAAAATATTGAGCCTTCAACCAGTGGCAATCTGTAGGGTCTATGGCGGTTAAATTTTTTAGAGCGGGACGCTGCGCGGGTGTGTTTTTTTTCCGGTGCTTTGTGCTCTCTTAGTGTTTTTGGACTGTTTAGTTGCAATAGGTCTAGCATCGGGTGCGGTATTGCAATCAGTCCTGGGTGCTTCCCACAGAAGCTTGGAGCCTTTTTTTGTTACAGCCATTCACCCTTGACCTGTGGTAATGCAAATGGTGATGCTAATGGCACTCACCCTGTGGGAGCTTGATGCCATTCACCCTTTGACCTGTGGAGGTTGATGCCACGCACCCTGTGACCTGTGGCAATGGTAAAATGCTAATGGCAAAGGCAATGCTGATTCACCCTTTGACCTGCGAGGGCTTGATGCCGATTATGCTAATGGCACTGGGCATGGTAATGCTGATGCTAATAGCAATGGTAATGCTAATGATGCTACTGGTCCATGGTTGCAAATTGCCATTCACCCTTAAGCTTGAACTGTGGCAATGCTACTGGCAATGGTAATGTACGGAATGCCATTCACCCTTTGACCTGTGGGAGCTTGATGCGATTCACCCTCCTTGTTGACCTCTGGTAGTGGTACAAAAAAGGCTAATGGGTCTCGTCCTCCACGTCTGAACACCTTCAACATGCAAAGTACTAAAACAAGGGGTTTCAAGAACACTGGAAAACACACACCCGTATAACGTCCTTGTCTGTAAATTTACAGTAAGGCCCTTGCCAGCCTCCCAAAATGTGACCAAGAACCATGTGGCACTCAAAACTGCAATCGAGGAACAGTCGAGATGGGCAAAGGGCATCTTTGGCCGAACTTCGCCTGTCTTGCCCTGGCACGCATGTTTGGCACATAGAACCTAGTTATATAGTGGCCTAGTAGCGTGGGTAGCATAGGGGGTATGGTACAGAATGATACAGAAGCGCATTTGCTTCCAAAAGCATTCTTGTGCCTAGGAAGGGGCACTTAAACCATTTTATAAACTGCCAAGAAATTGATTTCAACTTTCAAGTGCTGTACAGTACTCCGCCAGTCTGACATGTATGCGTGTTTGCAGTCACAACCGGCCGCTCCCCAGTAGTGACCTTGCAAGACACATGCTGCTATTACATTGCTACATTGTCTGCCACATACAGTACCAGTACCACTGAACTTGTTCAAACAATTGATGTTGTCTGCGACCTCTATGCCACAAAGCCACCCAACTTTCTCTTTGCAAAGCATCAAGCGCTGTCGTTTTGGCTCCTTGCATAGTTGGCTTGTCTTCTTGTGCTTGGCGTTCTGATCTGCTACGTCGTCCCGAACCAGGAGGCAGAGAAGACTCATTCGTGCGCACTTCATTTGTGCGATTGTTCTGGGCCTGAGGTCATGGTTCGGACGACTTTCAATCACTGGATTTGTCCACGGTTGCTTCTCAGACCGGACATCTTTAGCAATCAAGGGCGCAACATTGAAAAAACATGTCCCTCTGGTGTCCTTTCTGTATCAGCTGGGCAGCGCGAAAATTTGTGAAACCACCACCGCCGCCACTTCTCAACACAGATTTTCTTGACCCAGCCAAAGCGTTCAAACATATGGCCCAGCAAAGGATGCAGAATTGCATGACATACCACCTGAGTGAACGGCTACAAGCGACAGTTTCCTGCAAGCTGATGAAAAGGGATATATATCTTGTCAATGAGCTTCAGATTTCTGTACTCACTCAATGTAAGCTCCTGGCAGCACGCCCTGGAACCCCCCCAAGCTGCGCTCGAGCCCCACAAATGTAAAAGAATAAGCATAGGATCGTTAACACCCACAAGCTGCGGGTAAACAAGTTTGCCCATGCAAACACATAGCCGACCTGCCGTTGAGACAGTGAGCCTTCCCCACACCGATTCACTGCTGGGAATAGTTTTGGTTCAATTATTAGTAGCGAATGCCAGGAGCCCCTAGTAGCTTCTTGCTACTAGTAGAAAGGCCAGGAGCCCCTAGTAGCGTCCTTGCTCCAACAAGCGCCACTGCCTCCCGGCCATAGTGATCCAATATGCACTCTTCTAGCACTGTCCCGCCTGCAAAGGCACAAACAGTTCCTCTGTTGGACTCTACTGCCCGTGAAGAATCCGACTGCGTACAAAAGCTATCCCGGGCCTGGTGGCTGCACAATCCGCAGTCCCCATAAGACTTTTCTCCACCATGGGGCATCCCCTCCAACATACCTCGAGCAATGTTCAATGAACTCAAGGCCTCTGTGTGTGTGTGTGTGTGTGCGTTCTTGGACGCTCAGCACGGAAGAAGTGGCGAGGCACTCACACATTGCAATCGCAGACGCTATGTCTTTGTCATGCAGCGGCCACAGGAAAGGCCCAGAGTCTCGAGGATGAAACTTGGCCATTGCGGCGGTGACATACCTCGCCAACCAACAAGAAGAAGGTGTGGAGCAGCTTCTTTCACTTGCACCGTTGAAATAACAACCAAAAAGTCAAGTTGCGAAGCAAAGATTTCCAAGGTTATGGCCGGGGGGTCTGTCCTTGTATTCTCGCAGGCCCACCTGGCAGATTCTTTCCCTACATGAGCACAAGCACGCGAATTTGAAGGCAAGTGCTGCTAGAACAAAAAACCTCTCCAAAGCCGATACGTAGGAATGCCGAAACAAAGTGTCGCCACCTCAACACCCATAGACATACATCAGCTCCGCAGTATGTGGTCTCAGCAAAGCCTTCAATCCTAAGTGGTCTCCGGTTGTCTGAGTCGACGGAGTTCAAGTGTTGATTCAAGTCTTGTGCAACTTGCAACTTGCACGACACTCACCAAGCATAGGACTCTTGTACATCCTTCACCAAGCATCACCACTTTCTCTGACAGACTCTCCAAGGCTTGCCAAGCTGATCCCCCAGCTGTTGATGGCAGCAGGAGCGCTATCAAGGGAGGTTGCTGCCATTCTTCACTTAAGCGCTGGCAAATGTTCTCAACCTCATGATTCACAGTTTTAAACACACGCTACCGGCAGCTTGAGGAAGTCTGGGACCGCTGCCTCGTTCCATTTCCACTGTGCTTTCAATGCCAAATACGCGACTTTTCGCTGGAGGGCGCTCACCCGGACTCTGCGAGCCCTTAGCGGAGTCTCATTTCACTCTCTCGCTTCCTTTCCGCTGGAAGTTCAACTTTGCCGTTGCCCAACACACGACAAACACAAGAACCAAAAGAACGAAATGCAGACCAAAGACCACCAGTTCTTGGGGAGAGAAGCTGGCAATCCTTGAGGAGCTCCATCGGGCTTGGAGAGAGGCGGGGCTTTGGGGGCGTGTATGGACATTGAAACAGGCTTCAGCCCAAATCCACAGCAATCCGTCAACAAAAATGCATAATGATTCCAAAACCTGCCCAAACAAAGCAAAGACAGCAACAAGGTTCATTCATTTTCCCGTGCACGTGCTTTTCAGAATTTCAGGCGATGTTCCTGCAGCTTTGGCCAGGAATGCATGCACGATGGATTGCCACATCACGTAGCAGTCGCAGCTACTTTTAGGCTGAGCTGCATCCTGATCATGGGCACGAGTTCAACAAATGGACATGGGTGCAGAAACACCTGAAGTCTCATGTGTTTTTTAAATGAAGCTTAAGACACAACGCACGAAGTGTTTTGAGGCATTGCCTCTGGCACAACCTGTGGACCTGTCCAGATCTCTGGAGACACAAGTTTAGGACCAGTCCAGTAGTTGTTGCCCATGACGACTGTGGGGGCTGCCACATGAGCCATGGGCTCGCTTGATCCATAGCCATGCGGGGCTGGCCTTGCATACGAGACTGGCGGTCTCACAGGTGGCCCATGAGGTGCAGGATGCAGTGCATGATGCGGAGCAATTGGCTGCGGTGCAATTGGCTGCGGTGCAATTGGCTGCGGTGCAGGATGCATCTGCTCCAACAACGAATTGCCGGATGCTCCACGGGATGCTCTGACTGGCACTTGCTCTGGATGTCTCCACACCTCAACAACCATGGGTCGTCCAACTGCCCGATGCGCGCTCATTGCCTTTGCAAGTTCACCAGAAAGCTGCACAGAGTGTAGAATCGTTGTTCCGTTCACCTTCAAAATGCTGTCGCCAACCGCCCAACCGGCTTGCGCAGCTATGGGGTCAATGATCTGAGTGACGGTGAGGTCATGCAAGACAATGCCCAAACCATCATGGCACAAAGGAGCGGTTATGGTCACATGGCCCCCACTGTGGTCTCTGTGGTCTCCAATGGTTGACTCCAAATGAGCAATCTTCTTCCTTAGATCCTGGGCTCGGAGTTCCGCTTTCTGTGCTTCATTGAGGCTTCCAAGCATCTGCAAAGATGCCGGGTGTGTGCCGGATGACAAAGCAGCCGTGGCAGCACCACCAACAAGCTGCTGGAATTCAGCGTGGCTGGGAGCCCAATGTCGCTTGATGCCATTCAATGGATTCCACTTTTGCAGATCTAAGTTTTCCCTGTACGGGTCCATGACATGGTGAGGGGGGGCCCAAAGAGCGGATCTGTGCATCTGGCATATCGGTGAGGGAGAAGGAGAATCTCCTCTCCATTGGTTTGGGCATATCAAAGGGGTCGTCCAGTGCAGCACCAAACCCTGCACTGTAATTGTCAAACCCGTTGACTTCGTGCGTTGATCGATTGGGTTGGCTGCCAGCGGTGTTGGGCGCAGAAAAGTTTGCTCCTCTGCCACAGTGTCTACAGTAAGCAGAATCCTCCATCTCTGAGCTGAGTTCTTGTCTGGCCGGGGCTTGCATTGCTTCAAATACTTCATCATGAGGGAAATCTTCCCATGAGTCCAAGGCATCCTGCCTTGACTTGGAGGCATTTGCTACTTGATCTGCAAAGACAGGAAATGTTCGAGACTCAGGAGGCTCATTGCTGAAGCTGACCCTGCGCCCGCTGGATGTTGCCAAACTATCTCCGGGTGCCTTGGATTCTTGCTGATCCGAAAGCCACCCTTGAGGCTCAAGGCCCTTGCTTTTGGATTTCTTTTTCTTCTTCTTCTCTCGCCCTTGGCTTCCTCCCTCTTCTTGGAGCCATGAATCATTCCCAAACTCAAAGGAGCCATCACCAGGCACCTCAAAGGAATTCTCGCCACTGAAGGATGCGAAAGAAGCGTCTCCAAACTCGGCATCTCCAAATGCAAAGTCCATGGCTCTGACTCTGAAGCGAGTCTTGCAAAGTGGTGTGCGAGCCTTTGTCTATTCTGATCATTTGCAAAGCGTTGGTTCTTAAGGTCCTTCCCATGGATGTGTTGAATTCGTAGGTCTACTTCCATCTTGATGATGCCCATCAATGTGCAGTAGTATCTAGAGTAGTTGAGAATGAAAGGATGACAGCCGAAAGTTACTCGAGTGAACTCAATCGGCGCATGAAGCCTACACAAACAAAGCATGAGCTTGCTCTAACCGTAGCCCGCCAATAGCCTTGCTCCTTTTGCTGGAGAATTGGACGAAGAATCAGAGCGGAGATGACCTGCTGCCCAGATATGGATTTCTGCAGGCCTCCACCGCTCAAAGTTCAATGGCCCAATTGCGGACGCTTGATCGGCAAGACTTGTTCCGCGTCTCTAACGTGTCACAGCCGTTGCCGTTCACCTATTCACTATGCTCCACGTGCGGCTTGCTGGGCAGCTTCCTGCAAAACCGTCGGACTCCCATCTAGAAATGCACCTGAAGGTTGTGCCCCCCCCGTCCTCCTCAATAGCCTTGCGGAATTCCTCGGGAGCGTATTCCAGGCGCAAGGGAATCCAGCCTTAGGGAAACTGCATGCTAGGCTTCTAGCCTGCAGGCTTGGCAGGTTGAAATGCCATAGTTGAAGTTGCTATGAGACGCTGCCTGGGTGCTCTGGCCTGGAGTGTAAGCCTGTGTAACAGCTATGTGTATATATATATATCTCTCTCTATCTGTGTGTGTGTGTCAAACCCTGTTTCCAAGGGTCTAATTTAATTTAAAGCAGGGGGGACAGAGCTCTCTGATGCTACTCTGTCCAACGAAGCTAGGCATCAGAGAGGGAAGCATCCACTGGCCATGGATGTGTACCTGCTTTAACGGTTGAACAAGCTGTCCAATTGACCTTGTTTGTTTTCATGGTTCTTCATGATACTCCCCCTAAACCTTCCCACCGCGTTCTTGCAACTGAGCCGCGCATTTTCGTGAGCGTTTCGTTTTCGTGCTTTCTGCAGACTTCAAACCATTTTGTTCAAACATCTACAAGTTTTGCGGACTCTTCACCTTACCGTTCTTCACCTTCCTTCCCAACGTGGCAATTGAGTTAACTGAAAACCAATGTCAGAGTGTGAGCCGCTCAGTCTTCCCACTTGGGTGCTGGGTGTGACCCTCCGAAAGGAGGCGCCGAAACCATTCCGGAATTCACTGGTCCTTCATATTTATAACTGACCCTTTGCTTCTTCACTTTCATAACTGAATTAACGGATTTTTGAGCCGCCGGGCCAAAAAACGGACAATCTCAACCACCGAATCCAGAGCCGCCGGGCTATAAAACGGTAATCCACCCGCAATGAGGCAGGTTTCCCAACCCCCCCCCAGCCGAGTTCTACTCCCTACCTATTTAGGGCAACATAGGGAAATGGTACTCGACACACTTGTGTGTCGGTGCCTTTCCCTGTGTTGTTCCTGTTCTAGTCTATCCTACCCGGGCGGTCTAAGACTAAAGTCCCGCTCCCTAGCTATTGCACTTAAATTCATCTCTGCTAAGTAATCAGTAACTCTAGAGTGCTAGGTATTCAGACACACACATGTACACACACACATGGACATACAGCCCCTCCCTGCCCCCCCCACTTTCCTTCTTGCGCTTTTCGTCGTTTGTTGGGCTTTCTTTCAGGCTTTTTAGGTTGCTCTTGAGGCTCGTTTCCCTACCCCAGTCAAGGGCTAAGTATTCACTTTTTCTACACCTACCTTCTTTCTTGCCCTCTTAGCGCTGCTCTTTCTGTCTTTCTTTTCTTTTGTTTCTAAGGCTTTTTAGGTGACTATTCAGGTCTTTATGCGCGCCGCGAAGCGGCACCGTGTGTGTGTCAAACCCTGTTTCCAAGGGTCTAATTTAATTTAAAGCAGGGGGACAGAGCTCTCTGATGCTACTCTGTCCAACGAAGCTAGGCATCAGAGAGGGAAGCATCCACTGGCCATGGATGTGTACCTGCTTTAACGGTTGAACAAGCTGTCCAATTGACCTTGTTTGTTTTCATGGTTCTTCATGATACTCCCCCTAAACCTTCCCACCGCGTTCTTGCAACTGAGCCGCGCGTTTTCGTGAGCGTTTCGTTTTCGTGCTTTCTGCAGACTTCAAACCATTTTGTTCAAACATCTACAAGTTTTGCGGACTCTTCACCTTACCGTTCTTCACCTTCCTTCCCAACGTGGCAATTGAGTTAACTGAAAACCAATGTCAGAGTGTGTGTTTATATCTGTGTGTGTGAGAGCCCCTGTCCCAAAGGAATTCCAAGCACTTACTCCAGTGTACAGTAGCTGGGGCCAGAGAGGACTTGCAAAGCTCCTGTCCAAAATTTTAGAAAGCGGAAGCTGATCACTTCCGTGCACCTGTTTTTGTAATACTCGTGCCATTTTGATTTGACGATCAGTGCTGCAAAACATTTTGCCGTTCCTCCTTCGAGTTCGAGTTCGAGCGGGGCACACTATGGTTCCTCCTGCCCTCTCTCAGGAATGCGGTAATTAGATCATAAACAGCTGATGCATTTCAGCAACTTTCTGAATTCGCTCTGGCGAGAGCATCTTTGTCAAAAGGTGAGTGTATGGGCTATATGTATATATACACACATGTACATTGACTTCCGCCAAGCAAAAGCAATCAAACCAAAGGTTACTGGGAGCAATGTTCGCTACTAGTAACAAAGGGCATCGCTACTAGTAACAAGAAGCTACTAGGGCCTAGGGGCTCCTGGCCTTACTACGAGGAGCAAGGACGCTACTAGTGCAGCACATCCTGGCTCCCGAACACTCATAGTCTGCTTCGCCTGGCCTGGACAAAAAAGGAACCATCAGGCTACCACGACCACCAGTTCGATCCAAACCATGCCTGGCACCATCTTCACCTGACTTTCGCCACCTGCACCAGGATAAAAAAAAGTGCAAATAATATGGTCCATGGCGTCCCCACGAGCACGAAATGTTGGCATCAATCACTAAGGTTGGAACACTGAAGGCACAAGCCCGGGCACATTCCTGCGAGGGCCACGGCTTCCTTTTCAAACTTTGTTTCTCTTGGCTTCACAATACTTGATAGATACACGACAGATCGGCAAAACATTGTTTTCGGTGTTGCGGGAAAGGAGCAAAGGGAGCACATAGACTTCGCCCGTGGCCACATCTTTGTACCAACACCTGACAAGTTCACCACCCCCGCTAATCACTGAGGTCTGCGTGCTTTGTGTTCAACGTTGCACTGCTGTGGCCCCAGCTTCTCATCCCGACCATCCTTGCAAGTGCAGCCACTGTTGTAGCCCACCTCGCCCACTACTCACGAGTAGTATGGGTCAGGTGGGGAGCAGCAATGCTTGAGCACACACTTGCCTTCTCAGCCAAACGCTGCAGCACCGCAGCGCGAGGGGAGGTGATATGCTTGCCATCTGGAAACACAACCTCACAAATTGTGACAAAATCCTATCGAAAAAATCAAACCTCCAAAAGACTATTTTGCCAGTCTTGCCTTAATGAAGCCCTTCCGAGGTCGCGAGAGCTGGAGCTTCACTTCATCGCCAGACTTTTGGATCATTTCAACCGCTTTGTCCTGCCAACTGTGACTCGAACCACATAGCAAGAACCTATTCGAAAATAATGAGACATGGTATGGCTTTTTGATTTACAGTAAAACCAGGATGGTGGTATTTATGTGGTCTTAGCCAAGCAAGAAGTCTTCGCTCGTTCGGGATTCACGACCAGCAGCCAGTAGCCGGAGATTTTGAGAGATGGAACGGCCTGGAATCCATCCACAGGCTCGCCATTGACAGCTTCCAATTCATCACCCTCCTGTCGCAGTCTTCGCATGGCATTGTAGCCACTGTGTGTGTGGAACACGCAGTGGACACCGCATGTAACTCTTAAAAGAGCTGGTCTCAAATGCTGGAAGCTCCTGAATCCACATGGAATCTTCGCCCTTCAGGACCTCCTTGAAAAGTTCGGCCCTTAGGAATTGCTCCGCCATGTTCATAAAGGGACTTGACAGCTCTGACTAAGTATCGAGCGCACTCCCACTATTCAGAACTTCCTCAACGCCAACCCCAAATCCTGCAAGAGAAGTCTGCTTGCAAGACCACTGCAGAATAGGCCTGAAAGCCCTAAAATCTTGCGCTTGACTACCGATACTGGCAATGCTCAAGTGGTTTCCATTTCAACATGCAGGCCATCGGCAAATGCATTAAACCCTTTTGGACTTCTGACTTCAGCTCCTGGGCCACGAGGACCATCGGTCAGTACTATCCCGAGTGGCTTTGTCAACGCTACCTGACAAATATCGACCAGGGCTCAACACACGCTAACCCAAGCATTGGAATTTCCGGCGAGCCTCATAAACAATTTTCAGCGTGCCAATCATCTCAGCATTGGAAGGCAATTCTCGCTCTTTGCCCTGCAGCACCGCCCAATTCCGACCCACAATCATCCAAACTTGCTGCATAGTTCAGCTATAAGCCTTGCCGATGCGAGGCTTCAAGAACTCTGCTAAAGCATTCTTGTCCTTGTGAAACACGATCAAGGAACTGCTATGCATGAGTGGTTTGAGCATGGAATCACTGCATGAAGCTTCATAACCAATGAAAGAATCGTGCAAACCCACCCAGGGCTCCTTGGCTTGCATACAAGTTCTATCGCGAGAAGTGAGCCCAGAAACCTGCATGCAATCGTCACCAATTCGAATTAAGAGCTGTGCCATGTGGTGGCCATGCCTGCAATCCGACAAAATTCAACACTTGGGTGTTGCCCGCGTAAAGCAGCACCGCCATCGCTGCAGCAACTCCATACCTGCACCGGTTTGAAGCCATTTGCTGTCTTGACAATGTCTAGAAGGAACAATGAACATGTTTGAACCATTGGTGAAAGGAGTCCGGACTTGCCCTCCACCTTCTTCCACTAGCTCGTACCATGGCTTGGCCAGGCATATGATGCTTCAAGGGTACAATTGTGTGGTTTCTTAAAGGTCAAAGCAGGCTGGCAGAGTTGGTGGATAAAGCTTGGTGCTATCCAGGCCTCTGAAATGTTGATTGAAACAATGTTGATAGATTTAAGGTTTTGGCGTGCTTGAGGTGCTTGTGGCGTTTTCTGTGGAAGGCACGGCCAGGTGGCCAGGTGCAGGAATACGTCAAAGAAATAAAGTGAGCAAATCTGCCAAAGGTTTTGCAGCCAACAAATCAAGGTTTGGGCTCTCCAGTTTGCAGCTTTTTGCGACGCACTATGTGCATAGATAGATGGTTGGCATATGAATTGCTTGCTGAGTGACGGAGACACACAAATTGTGGCAAGTCCTTGCACCCAAAGATGCTGGAACACAGCCAAACGAATTGCAAGATGTCTTTCCTGACATCAGCCCCTGAAGCCAACAGGCACGATGCCCTGGCTTTAACCAAAAAACTTCAAAAGCAAATCACAATGTACTCTGTATGACTTTGTACACGCATCCCACTCGCTTGGACTCAGTCTGAGCCAAGCGCTTTTCTGAATTGATGGTTGCATCTCTCCAAAGCTTCACGCAGTGCTATGCATTGACGTTCTCCTCAGCTTTGAGATGGGGTATGTGGTGCCATGCTGTGATCCACCCCAAGGAAACACAACGTTAAAACATGTCAAAACTACGCAAGTGTTCAACCTGCCGCTGAAAACAAAATTAGATTCTTCAACTGAAGACCTGTGCTCCAAGTGTCTTCTTTGCAGCTTCTGCGTTAAGGTTTCAGCTCTTTTCTGAAGTGCTCCGAGCCCCAGCGGTGACCGGTGTTCTCCCGCTTTCTGGACAACCTTCATTGGGCTGAAATCGGCATCCTCCTCATGTGAGACGGCTGAGGAGGCTGAGTGTACATTGCTATTGAAAGTCATTCCGACTATGACCAGTTTTGACCAACTTAGTAGCAGCCTTGCTTTTGACCAACAATGGGTGCCCCGAATGCTCCGAAATTGACAGCTCTTTCAAGCAGCTGAACCCCTATGCATCCAACCCTGGCTTTGGGAAATGCCGAGGGCAATTAGGACAGGCAGTTCCTGGAATTGCAACTCCGTGCCTTTGCGTGGAAGCCAGGCTTGATCAATCTGCTGTACCTGCACCCCTTGTGATGTTCCTTGTTCCGCTCCTGGAGGCTCTTTGAAGGTTTCTTGCAGTAAACGGCTGATGCACCCGGCAGTCACCCAGTTGCAGCTGTGAAACTCACACTTTGAAACTTGCATGTGGATTTGCGTAGGGACTTGGTATCCTGGACACTTGGAGGGTTGGAAACCCTACTCGTCCTTGATTGATAGTTTGGCTGCGCACCACGACCACTGCTTTGCTACTGCTAGATACTGCTAGTGTGTTTTCTCATGTTTTCTCCATTTTCTTTTGATGAATGCATTGCTCGTATGTATATAATATCAAGAACTATTTCAGTGCGTGACCTGTAACGGAGACTCCGTCTTTGCCTCTTCTTTTGAACACTGCATACTTTCTTGCGAGGTCAACAATTCATGGATTCATGTCCTCAACGCCAATGGAATCACAGCCCATCTGGACCAATCAGGGCAGGAGAACGTCCGTTTGAAAGCTCCATGTTCTCCAGTTTTTTTGCATTTCTAGCTCTTGGCTGGGCCAAACCTTCCTTGGATCTTCGCCCAGCCTTTCGCCCGTGTTTGACATTGTTTGACTACGCTCGGTGAGTCACCCACGATTGTCCCTATGGCATTATGGTGAACCCGTCCATGGGCGACTTCCTGATGGGCCCGGCTCCCAGCAGTCGAGTCACGCCAATGTCTGCAAAAGCTATGCCAGCATAGACACCAGATAGCTAAAAGGTTTCTGTGGGCAGCACCCTGCAGCCGCACTCCGCAGGGGCACCCTGCAGCGCCCTCCAGTGGTGCCAGCACCCGGGCTTCAAAACGCACAGGGTCAAAGACATGTCGCAGCACCCTTGAGCGGCACCCTGCCGCAGCACCAGCCTCCAAAGCGCACCGAGGCAGCCATACATCCGGCAGCAGCACCAGCACCCAAGCTCCAAAGTGCAGACAGCAGCGGCGCCCGCAGCGGCACCAGCACCCAGGCTCGAAAACGCACACATACAGCTCTTCCTATACTTGAATGAAGTAAGAACCCCAAGCTATCTGGGGAGTGGAGAAAGAACCCCAACAGCTCACGCTATCTGGGGAAAAAGTGCCAAATAGTACTGTAAAGTGGAATCCCATATATTCAATATGCCAAAGAAGGGGCCAGGCTTTCCAAGAATAAAGATGTTTCGATGCTTAAGTTCTCATTGAGTAAGATCTTGCTCTGTCAGCAGCAAGTCACCACTCTTTACGCGAAGGATGTAGTTGGCATTTGGTGAAATTAACACCCGGAACAGCAACTGCATCAACAGCACCTGCGCCGACATCCTGTTTTCAAACCACACAAATCCAAATGCACCGGAACAGCAGCAGCCGCGCCGACAGCACCTGCACCAACACCTTGTCACCCACCAAAGCGCACACGGCCAACTCATTCTAATTACACTTGAAGTAAGAACTCCATCTATGGCTATCTCGGGAAACGGACTTTGAGACAAATACTTCAGGCAGACAAAAGTTTACGCTTGTTAGCCTTCTTATAAAACAC